TTTAGGAGTTTACCATGCTGTTCCTTTGTTTATAGCTTTGTTTACCTCGTGCTGTTTCTTTTGACAGCGCTTCGCTCAGTGCTCTCCAATATTCATGTCATGCCTGTAATACTCCACTTGGTCTTTGTTCTGTCTCTAGACCTCTCATCAGACCAGCAATATTGATGTATTACACTGATAAACTCCTTTCATCAACTCACAAAGCACCTCTTCTTTTATATTCCCTACCCTAATCAGCGACAATCGCTCCCTGTGGAGTAGCACATCTCAAAGGTACTACGTGGCAGAATGTGCCTTTTTGTTTATTGCTTTTCTCAAACAAAAAACCCCTTTAATTAATGATGAAATCAAAACGCCGTAGCAACCTAGGGGCTGTTTTTATTCTGCACGGTGTCCATCCTATATATGTCCTCGAACCAGTGCGCTGAATGTTATTAGTCATACTAAGGCTTTGCGATGTAGGCGTGAAACAAACAAAGATTCCCTGCACATTCTCTGTGAACCAGCGGCTGTTAGACAGAAGAAAAACACTCTGCTACTCAAATGAAGAGGTATCCTCTGGTGGAGATTGGCATGTGCTTTTGCCCTACTTTTAACATTCCACATAAAAGGAGCTGTGGAAAGAGGCGGGCTGCTCTAGCGTTCTTCCCTAACAGTCTGGATGGTGATAAAACATGCACAAAGCCAGTCTGCGTGCACAAAGCTGGTAGAGAAGAAGAGTAATGAAAGCAAGAGGTGGTGAATGTGAAAACACAAAACAAAGCTGTCACCGAGTATACAGATTGCAGACAACTAATGTCTACTTCAGTGAGGGCGCAAATATATACAGACATTAATACACGTGAATTGTGTTTGCAAAGCAATCCGCACTCCGACTCATACAGTACATTCACACTGTAGCCTCGTGAAATATGGCCCTGGGTGAAATGAATGGGTCTCCCTATGTGTTGGTGGCAGGTCGTTACTCTGCGTCCCTCTGGCGAGACAATAAAGCCCCGACACAATGAGACAGTCTTTAGAACTCACTCTCACCTCCTTTTACACTGCCGGCATCTATAAAGTTCAACCTTGATAGAGAGAGGAGAAAGAGGGAATAGGCGGGCTTAAAAAAGGGCGGTACGTGAGGGTTTTGGGGGGACAGAATGAAGATTTTGATAGACTTGCGTCCTGAAAAAGCCCTAAACGCATTTGATCACAGCGGAGAGAGAAAATTAAGCTTAAATCCTGTGGAGGACAGACATGAGTCCACGAGTCTGAGTGACAAAGTAGATGTGAGTGCTGTAAAATGAGCCTTATAAAACTTTAATTACATCTCCTATCTACTTGAAAATAGTTTACATTGTAGTTTTCTCTCTCTCTAATGTTAAAAATCAACAAATCAACTGCGAACTCATCAGTGGAACATGTTTATGTCTTATCTTCTCATAATACTTGATTGAATTTTATCATTAGCCAAGTTTAGCCTGTACTTTTTAGCAGCATTAACACTAACAATATTTTTAAATCCAGTTTGTGTTCATGTGATGAAATTGAAAATGAGTCGAAGTAAAGTGAGCTCAAGTCCATTTCTTATGTCACCGACCTGCATCTGCAGTAACCAAACACAGTCGGCATGTTTACTGTTGGCCAGTCTTCCCACCATGAGACACAGTTGCCAGGCAACTTAATGACTGGGAATTTCCCCAGACCCAAGGGTTTAACCTTGGTAAAGAGCAAGTGGAAATTGAGGTAGAGAGATGAGAGAGAAGTGGAGGGCCACAACCTGTTTCTGAAACCGACCTTTCCAAAAATGAAATGAATAGCCCCTGGAATGAATAATAAGTGTTGGCTAATTCCTTAGCTGCCGCATAAACCCTCGTGGCGCTCGAGCTTCTCGGCCCATTAGCCCAGTCGTGAGGGTGTTGCAAGCTGTTGCAGCCGTGGAACGCCATCTGCCACTAGTGCGGCTGGTGCCCTCCCACCCTTAGGGACAGAGAGGGGGAGAGGGAGAGGGAGAGAGAGAGAGAGAGAGAGAGAGGGTAGGGAGCTGAAGGGATGGAGATAATTGAAGAGGAGGAGAGGTAGAGACGTAACTCAGGCTTCCTCCGATGTTTAATTAAGTGGCAGCAGTCGGGTCATGGCAGGACATCCTTGAGCAACTGTGTGTGTTAGTTTCTGCAAACTGGATAATTAAGTCATTAGGTAACCAAAATAGAGCAATTGCCAGTACACTGAATCAAACAATGTCAGATAGTGTTGTAGATACAGTATGTACCATAAGCAGCTGACCTTTGAGGCATAAAACACCAATAAAAGCTTAAAAAAAGTTATGTTTTTCAGTTTGTCTATTGTCTCTATCCTTGTTCCTCCCTTTTCTTTATTCTTTTGTTAAAACAGAAATCACCAATTAACTGTATGTTCTTGTTCTTATGCTCCAGCCACAGGATCAGATGAGCCTCGTTGGTGTCATGCTCTATGACTTCCAGGACAGAAAGTTCCTCCCACGGGAACGCCAGGGGGACGAGGAGATCATACGGGAAGTTCGAGATGTCGAGAACTACCTCCTCAGGTGAGGACAAATAAATAAAATAATGACAAAAAACTTGAAGTGGAATTATAAAAGGGAGTACAAATAGATATAGATATACATATTTTTCTTTTGTATGTGTTTTGTTTAGGTTTAAAACCAAGCTGGCAGCCTCTTTGGCCCGCTGCAGGATCAAACATGATCTCTTGTCCATTGAGTGTATCTTGCCGGAGAGTGTGAAGACCATGCAGGAGCGATCAAGCAGCCTTCTGCTTTACGCATGGATCAACATGCTGAAGAGCAGGTCAGCTGAGCATCTACATACATAGACCACTCACTCACTCACTCACTCACACACACAGAAGCAGGTAACTAACCCCTGTACCTGCACACCTGTACAGGAACACAGGAATGCACTGTAAGCATGTATAGAGTGTGTGCTAGCCTCTACACACACACACTATTACATCTACACACAGACCTTTAACTTGGGGGGCTGCCTAATGTTTTATAGGCCAGGTGCCCGGCTGACATCCAATTAAACCCCTGTGTGTGTGTGTCTGTGTGTGTGTGTGTGTGTGTGTGTGTGTGTTCTAATATGTGTTCTTGCACGCGCCCTGACAGGCTGATTCGGTTAGGTGTAAATCCTGCTGCTGTGGACAGATTCAATCAGCAACAACCCTCAGCAAAGCTCTGGGACTGTTAAGGTCACCTGTTGGGACTAGTTGTGTGTGTGTGTGTGTGTGTGCGTGTGCATGTGTGTGAGCATGTGTGTACCCTAAATGGCTTTTATAGCACATTTTATTTCTAAGTCTTGTAAAAGGCCACATAGCAATTCTACACACTATTATTATCTATGATGACAGTCTTCCTCTTTCTTCTACCTCTCACCTTCTTCCCCCCTTCCCTCATCCCTTCTCTTGGGCTTCCTCTAATCTCTCTCTTCCCCCCCTCCTCTCCTTTGTTTCTAGCCTTGATGAGGTCCTAAGTGTGCTGAAGAGTGCGGGCTTCTCGCAGGTGAAATCGATTGGGCAGCTGGAGGGCCAGACCTTCTGCCAGGATCCCCACTGCGGGGATATACTGGTATTCCCTGCTCAGCTGAAGGCTCAGCTGTACTCCACCAAGCTGCTTAGCGACCACAAACTCATCATCCAGGTACAAGCTGCACGTAGAGAGAGAGAGAGATAGGAGGTTCCTTACAGGAGCAGCGTTCTCCCTGTAGACTTTAACATAGCTGTGGAAATCTGCTGAGCCCCATCAATCTTCTCTGATATTCATGATTTCACTTTGGTAATGGACTTGCTCGAACTGATTATAAGACTGAGATCCCTTATGCCAACTAAGATTAGTTTGCGCAGATACAAATATTTCACACCACTGCTTCTCATATTTCACCTCGTGCCATAAAGAATTCTCCGGTCTGGGAGGGGGAGAGCAGTTTAATCATTTAATTTCTCTTCCATTAAAGTCAAGCTGCCATACAAACTGCAAGCAGCACACAGCACCACAACACAATTAAATCAGATTTTGCAGCCAAATTCAATCAAATATTCAACACCGCTGCCTAATTAATCATCTCTCCTTCTCTCCATTTTATGAGCCTCCATCACACTTTCTCTCCTCTGTCTTTCCAAATGTCCTTGTTCTTCCCCACCCTGGTTTGTCTTTCCTGACAAACCCTGTGATACTAAGTACAGAAACTCAAGCCAGCCCAGTGGTTCCTCAGGGATACTTTCAGCACTATTTCCAGAGGGGACCCCATTGATTGAAGGACATCTCTCTTGTAATCTGACTGCACTGTTACTCTCCTTCTTCCTTTGTATTCCTCTTTTGCTCCTCTTGCCCTCAGTACCTGCTTTGCAACATCTGCTCCAAACTCCCTCTCCTCTCTCATCAATTCCCACCTCAATTCTATTTACTGCTCTCATACGGTGCAACTTACCCTCCTACTTTCTCTTATCCTTGTCTCATTAGTTTCCAGGGTGTATCTACCTGAACCTGAATCTAGAAATCAGTCTGTTGGTCTCTTTATCGAACTAATGCTTTTTGCTCAATGTGTCTGTAGGATAAATCTTGCAGCCTGGGCCCAAATGCAGTATGCTCCCTGCTGCCAGAGGAAGGAGGTGTTCTTATGGTGGGCTGCTTCTCCGGCCTCACTGTCTCCCACACTGCCTCCCTAATTGCAGAGAAACATAAAGCCGAGGGCAACAACCAGCCTACACTCTACGTTTGTGTCAGCGATCGTACAGACGCTCAGAGGGAGGAGTTACAGCAGGCTGTGACTGCCATGGGCTGCAAGAGTAGGCATAAAATGGATGTGTCCATGGGTGCAACTGTGTTTAGTATGAGAGGGAAAAAAGGAGACAGACAGATATGGAAGTAGACAACCCAGATGTCTATTTACTGTCCTTGTTTTCATGACTTCTTTGTCTTTATGTGTCTTTCATTTATAAGAGAGAATGGGAAACTGGTCACACTGGTCCATTATTTCTTCAAACTGCTATTTTTTAGCAAATGGACACTTAAAGTGAAGTGACTAAATTTTAACAAATGTGACAAATGTTTCATGAGCTGACCAATTACAACAAAGATTTAGGATATTTAGACAGAGCGCCAACAATCGGAACAAAAGAAATTATTGCCAGTTGTTTTTTTGTCAGCAAATTCTCAGACTCTTACCAGACAGTGATTCTGAGCTGTGAGTAAATATCATATGCTGATTGTGGCTGCCTTCTCAGCAAGTCATTAGGGAAACAATTAGGCACATGTGACGAAGCTGCCATTTTTGTAATTACAAGAGACGCCCTCAGGCAAGGTATTTTTCTACAAAGAAATATAGTGGGACTTTGTGAACAGATTTTAAGCATTGAGTAAATGTGTGTTTGTGGTTATAATTAAATTATGTGCATTCTTCTCAGACGTGAAGCTGATACCAGAGGACTTCCAGTCTTTGGACGGCAGTGACAAGCGACTTCAGAAGGTGCGCGTCATCCTCTTAACCCCCAAGTGTTCTGTGTCTGCAGTCAGCAACCCGGTTGAATTCATACTGCAAGAGAATGGAGGTACAAAGGCAAATTATGCAAATCCCTAACCCTGTGTAGTTCTACCACTTTCATATGTTCAAAAAAGTCGATAAATCTAAACGTTTTGTAGCTACAGTGGTATTTTAGGTTTAAAGAAAAAAAATCTACTAAGCCGTGATTTAATCCATAAATATATAACAGAAAAATTTCTAAGAGTCCCCATTACTTCTTTTTTTGTGTTTAAACAGAAGATGAGGAGCATTACTGTGAATAAAAAATTCCATTTCATCACTATGTTTGATGTTTTAAACATAATTACTGATGATCCACTCACAATCCTCTCGTAGGCTGCACATCCTAAACGTTCAAGCCCTTCCATCTTCTTATGTGGAGGTTATTTATAATAGAGTTGCTTATATATAACTCTTATATAACTTATAACTTGTTATCTCAGTTAATAAAACAGAGATTTTTCTCTGTTGAAATACTTCTTCGTTTTCTCAGACACAGACCTGCTGCAGGACTTATCACAGGGCTCCATAGCCCAGAGCAAACTGGAAGCTCTGGTAGCTCAGCAGAGGAAGGATATTGATCACGCCTTGAAGTGTGAGTGTCGAACCACCTGCTCTCATCTTGACATGCACACACACAAACACAGTCAGACACCATACGAGCTCACTCTGGAGCGCGTAGCCCCTCTCACCTTCTCTGACACAATGTAGTTTATACTTCCTAATTATCTAATCTAGCGTGCCTTTAGAATGAAGCCTGTGGTATCCCTGGGAGATCGTCTGAGTCTTAATTGGGAATGCTAATGTTGCTCTGCGCCGGTCAGACACAGTCTGCTGCAGCATTCCTTGCATATTTTAAACACTTGATTAGTGATCTGCTTTGTATTGCAAACATTCGGTAGAGCTGAATATAACAGATGGACCTACTTTACATCTTATTCTGTTCTTACATCTTATTATTATTATTATTATTCTATACACAACACAGTTATATTCTGCAGTCCTTGCTGCTCTGCTCAGTTGTGTTCTACGTGTTGTATTTTATCCCATTCAGTAGCGTGTTAATCGGTGTCCATGATCTACAGTCATTAGCCTCAGTCCGTCTTGTATTGTTCAGCGCTCTTCTTTCTGTGTTGGTCTGGGTCATGTTCATCGAGCAGGTGGGGTCTTTCTGTTAGGGGCAATGAAAACCAGCTCCTCTAATCACACCGCCATCGATCGGCCCTGGTCTACGTTTTTGCCAGTATAGATACTTTCTAATAGGACTGTTAATTAATGGTGGGTTTGTATCGAGTGCCCTGCCTTGGTTGAGTCGATGGTCTCATTTCAGTGTCTCTAGGCGCACGCATAGACAAATGCTCACACAGATGCACCTCCATAGCGTTTAATGTCCCAGCTGTGAGGTGGGTGTGCTGTAGAACAGGACACCTGAATGATAAATGTTTCTGCGTCACGCCTCAGTCCTCTCGTCTTTTTAACTCAGTTCCACTTCCTCAGAAGCAATATTTCACATTTGTTTGGAGCCGATTTGCCACATCCGAGCAGGTTTTATTTGTTATCAGCTCAGTGTTAATTGTTTCTGTCGGGCTATAATTAGTGAGCAAGAAAGAAATCAAAGCTCAAATGAAGGAAATCAAACGGCCGATAGCTTCACAAATCTACAAGCCAGCAGCAGTTGAGTAAGATGAGCCATGTACATACGTAAACAGCGCAAAGAAATTAATATTAAAGAGACATTTCTTCAAAGGAAGCGCTTGATGAGGAGGATGGCTCAGTTTGAATAATCAAATTTAATTGTCATAGAAAGAGAAGAAGAAACTTTTAAACTGAAAGTATGTGTCTGTCTTCTTGCTTTAATTGAACATGAAATTAGTTTGTTGTTTATGGATCTGGTCTCATGTCAGTGAAGCAGCTTTATTATAATTGTCTTTAAATAATTAGCCGAGGCCCTGTTCACCCTATTTAAAGTTAGTGTAGCATCAAAATAATTTTGAAAGTGTTATTTTAAGGTATTTTAAACGTACATACTGTTGCTTTAATGCACACATTTTTTGTATAGTCCCAAAGGTTTTGGCAGTGGTATACTCTACCTGTTCGTCATACCCAGAGGAGAATGCTGAGGTGGTGAGCAGAGCTCTGGAGCAAGCCAATGCCTACTCAGAGCAGGAGGGGGATCCAAAACAAGTTAACTTCAGGTCAGCCTCAGTCTCTGTACCTCAGTACCCTGGTACACTTTGTGCGTCTGTCTTTGTCATTGTCTTTCTTTGCCTGTTTGCCTCGCTGTCTGTCAGCCTTGCTGGGTTGTTTGTCCGTCTCCCTTCAGACAGGCTTCTGTCAAAGTCTCAGCACACCTCAGGCAGGAACTGAAGGAGATCCAGTGAAAATATAATCAAAGGTTCCATTTTATGTGTCTAAGTGCTGTGAAAAGGGCAGGAAAAAAGATTTTCAGACAGCTTGGCGTAGGCATACTTTGTATGTTTTGTGTGTGTGTGTGTTTGTGTGGTTTGAAGAACTTAAGACTTTTGAAGTTGTATCATTCCTGTAGACTTAACTCCTGACTGCAGTATGCTGGCCTGGCGTGCTAGCAAAGCCTCAGGCTATCATAAATAAAACACACATTATATTACTGGTATAGATCGCACTGGCTTTACCTAGATAACTGGTGGATTTATATGCATTTACTTACTGTTGTATTTTAAGCAGCTGTCCATATGTGTAATTTTGTATACTTTATTTTTCTGTGTGTGTTTCATCCAGGCTTAGTCCATCCCCGTTCAGCATTCCTCATCATGCAGAGGGCCCAGAGGAAACAGATCCCTTCTTCATGTTGGAGCCCTCTGAAGAGAGCAATGGCTGCTTCCTGGCTGTTCTCCACAGAGAGGTCAGCATCACATAAACAGAAAGCTCACAAAGCAAAGCAGTGGTTAACCCCAGTGAATTCACAAAGACAGCATGATATCTGCATCCTCGATATTTACTTTATTATTTCTCTCAACACTAGACTTATCTACCACAGGAAGTCTAGGGTCAATTTTTTATATTTTATTAGTCATGGTAGTGACCACCATGACTCAATGTTGAAGCCAATATAAACATTTTTGAGGAGCTGACAAGAAAGGATTGGCAGAACGTCCAACGTTTCTCTTACAATGCAAAGTCAAGATCTTCTTCCTCAAGATGCTCTATATGATCATTTTACTTCTTGAACATAATCTATTGTAACTTCAAAAAGTTGCTCCACCAGTCGACTGCTGCTGCTCCTTTCAGCTGGGGCAGCCAAAGAGACAGGCAGTGATAAATTTAGCTCATTTAGCATCTGGCCCTGGCAAGCTGTCTGGTTTTCAATGTCAGGAAAGATCCGACATTAGCCTTGGACCTAACCATTGGCTTTCCCAGTGTGATACCAAAGTGTTATTTGGCTGGCTGTTCATTGTGTGAGTGTTCAGTATTCAGAGTGTTTGAAATAGAACATATTTATTTTAGTATAATTTCTTATATGCATACAAACTATATACACATATAAATACGGTACAGTGAAACCTGAAGTTAAACATTGACTCATCCCTTATGACTGCTGAGGAACTCCATTATACTTCACTTGCTTTCTTCTGAGCTCAAAAGCTAATCTCGCAGTTGGCTCTCTCATGACACACAGACGCAGACACAGCAGAGAGAAGTTTGATTGGTGAGCTTTAAGACAAGTGTGGGAATTATGATGAAGCAGGTATCCTGTGCTGCCTGCTATCTGTCAGAAACAATTCATCCATGATCACACACTGAAGCATGTTTGTCTTTTAAGTGTAGAAACAGGGCCCTTTGAATGTCTATTTGTTTGGGAAGAAAGGAGAAGCAGGGAACTAGGCTACTGAAGATGAAATCAGGTGAAAATGAGCATCACAGGCTGTGACAGGTACTTGTTCAAACCCTTAAAACAGAAAAAAGGTAGAGGAGTGAAGAGTTCAGGCTGCTAGAAGAAATGAGAATGTCATCAGAGCCTAATTAGAAGAATCAGAAAGAGCGAGACGTAGGAGGAGAAGGTGGCAGAAAGAGTGTGAATGAATGCCAAAATGGTTTAGAAATAGAAATCAGGATCAGGATGAAATTACAGGATCAGAAGCGTGAGAGAGTGAGTTGATGTTAGCTTCAGGGCATTGCACTGCATGGAAACTGGATCTGTTTGTGTGTGAATATGTCTGTGAAGGTGTTTATTAACTACACTCTACACTCTTGAGTTTAACAGTTTCAACAAAGTCCATGCCTGAAAGAAGCTTCCTGGCTCTTTTATGAACACTAATAGACTTCTTTTACAGCCGTCATTTCCACATAAAATTGTAGGGTAAACACAGCTGTTACCTATGATATTAATTAAGATTCTGTTCTATTTAGGTCAAACAGAGTCAGGGTGCTGCTATTTTGCATGGTGGTTCACTGGAAAGACTCTGCTAAACTAAATGGGACAGAACCCTAATTAGTATCACCAGTGTTTACCTTAATATTTCATGTCAAAATGGCTGCTGTGAAAAAGGTCTGTTGGGATGCACTCTGTCGCTGTAGCTCTCTCTGTCAGGCTTTCATTACTTAATTAAGTTTCTCTTTCTGTTTTCCTACTTCAGCTAAACTGACCCTCTCTCCTTTATACTATCACCTGTCTCTCTCTCTCTCTCTGTCTAAACCTCTCTCCTCCTCTAACTCTTTATTATTTTCATTGGTGGTTGTTAAGTGAGACAGTAAGACTGTTACAGGAAGTAGGTCCAGCTCTAACCAGCTGTAAGTGCAGTGTGTTGCAGAGGATCTACAGGCTTGGTAAAGGTGCATCAGCAACTCTCATCGAGTCTGTGTGACTGGGATCCCCACATCCTCATAATCGACAACATACTCTCCCCACATTATGAAATCTACTCTTACGCTTATTAAGCCATCTTAACCCCACCGGGTGTGACGGAGCTCTCTCGCACTGTAGTTTCTGTTCCTCTCCAGCCATCCATCATGTTTTATACCTCCACAGATAGGAATGAAAAGATAATCAAACTGCTGTAATGGTGCCTCAAACAGGATTTTTTCCTCCCTATGTCTAATAAACTCAGCTAATCAAAAGTTATTGTGGCACTCTGAAAAGCGCCATAAAAATAGCAATTATATAAGTGTTTGACTGCTGTCTGGCTTACATTGACTGTCATAGCTGTGCACAGTAAAGTTCTTTATGAGGCCTCCATACAGAAACAGCTGGGAACAATAAACACAGTCAAGTGATGTGTTGCTGGCCTAATTTCCAGAGGAAACAGAGCACATCACAGGTGGGCTTTCCTCTCAAAGATCCCAGTCTCTGAAGGACGAATTAAGACAATATTAAAATGGGATCCAGATCCCTACACTTTTCAGTTGGACTTTATTTTCTTCATTGATTAGGATAAGTCTCATGAATTTGGATGTAGTTTGCGAGATATAGTGGTAGTAATGATTTTGACCTCCGTATGGGTTCAGCTCCAGGGTACGCTGTGGCAGCTAAGTTCAGCAGAGTGTTGAAGGAAATGAGAAATTTACAGAGTATGGCATAGTTGGTTAGTGAAGATGGAGAGGAAGTGAGATTTACAGGGGTGAGGGGGAAGCAAGGGAGGCAAGGGAGAGCGTCTGTTGAATAATTCAGCGCCCCCTGTCCGTATGAGTTAGCATCAATGAAGTTCAGGGCGTCCACCAAAGACTGCATTACAGCGGTGCTTCTGAAGCATGTTTACCTGTGTGTACAGAGCGTATCACCACAGTGCACGCACATGTGCAAAATACCCACTCCTTGTAATAACATACACACTTTACAGTATGCACGTACACACACCTGTGTACAGAGAAATACAAACACACATATACGCATTTGCATTAAAGTACAAGCAAGCACTTAAAAACAAAATACACACATAAACCCACACAGGCTGCATGTCCCCATAGTGTACACTGTGCTTGTGAATAATTCAGGCGTTGGGGAGAGCAGTTGGCTGCTGTGTGGGCTGGTGCTGAGACAGCAGGTGACCCTGCAGCCAGCAGCAAGGACATGGTGGCTCTCTCCTCTCCTCTCCTCTCCTCTCCTCTCTTTTACCAATATTACATATGGTGTACAGCACCTAGACCACTAATTCTCTATTTTTTGATACGGTAAACAAATGTATTTTTAGTGTATGCATTAAATTATAGAGGACTGCAAATCTTGTGGGAGCGGGTGGTCAAAAAATAAACTGCGGGATTTAGCGTTAACTTGAAGGAAGGAGATAACAAATGAAGATCAAAGCAGTTCATTACAATACAAAAACAAAGGATGGGGAAGTCTGACAAATGTATCAGTTGTTACTGACAGAGATGGAAACGAATTGGACTACAAATGTTCAAAAGTATTAGACTACACCACGTTCAAATCTGGCACTTCTGGTTGAGGTGACATACCAGCTCCTTTCTCCCAGGTCAAAGTGAGCTCTGTTTCAAAGAGAAAGCACTTCTTCTTCACCCGTAAAGGGATTATTGACACTTTGTGTTAGGTTTAAATGCAGAGGAGGAGAACGTGATTTCGCTATGTTATTACTGACAGGTATGCATCTCTTCATTAATAGTACACAGTAAAATAGAAGAGACAAAATCAATGGACCTCTATTATGCAGGCAGGAATGGTCTGAATGTTTGCAGGTGCAGGTGGAAGTGAAACACATACATTGCGGGAATGGGCTGTAATAGTCAGAAATACAGCAGGCACAGAAAACGGTTTGCTTAGTCTATCTAATAATGTGGATATATGATTACAGGGCAGATAAAGCACTGTATCGGCACACATTTCTACATTACTTTTTCATTATAAGAATGTACAATATTTCTTTACTTTATTCTGGAGTGTCTGGGTGGCCTGTCAGTTAGTTTAGTAATTTAGTCATTTATGGTACCTGGAGCGCTCGCTTTATGCTTCAGTATACAATATATTTCATTCACCAATACATGTACATCAACCTTACAATTATTTGGTCAGTAAATAAAATATATTGCTTTGTCACTTCTCAACAGCCTGAGCCAGTGGTTAAAGAGGCACCACACGAAGTGCTTGACAGGGCAAATGCCAAAGGCATACTGGACAGGATCGGTTCCAACCACCAGCTAACCAAAAAAGATCAGCATGGACATACCATCAGGATGACTAAAACAACCCATGCTCGCAACTCTCAGCCCAACCTCTCTGTTAGTATTCAATCCAAAAACCAAGAGACAAAGGGCAGCAACAGCACTACTTTGTGTGGACATCAGGAATTTACTAACAGGCGGCAGTCTACACAAGGTGGGTATTTCAGTCCTATATTTCAAGGGGTACATACGGCTGGAGACATTTTATAATTATATGCTTATTTGTTACCGCTAGTGGTATCAATCTTCTCTATTCCTGGCTAAGAGGAGTAACACTGAATACAGTTTGGTTTAAACAGAAGTAGTTCAATATCTAATGCTCTCAATGCTTTGGTCCGGTGCCCTACCTCCAACCTCTATCTCATTGTCTTTGTCCTTCAGGAACAGCCAAAGCAGTGCGCTTGCGGGCCTCAAAGAACACTGAGTCCAGCTCCTTCTCTTCCTCCAAACTAGAAAACAGCACCAGCAAGAAAAGCATCACCCCCGTATTCAACATTACAACTTCCACCACCACCCTGACTCCTGCCGCTCCTCCTTCTACCCCGCTGACCCCAGTTGTCCGTCCCCGCAGAGTTCCTCAGGAGGTGCTGAAGCCTGTGGTGCTCGTCCTGCCTCCCGTTCACTTCCCCAGCTTCTTCCCACCTCAGAACAACCGAACGGGATTCACCCCCAACTTCAACTACAACAAGTGGAGGGGCCCTACTCAAACTGTGCCCCTGTCCCGCTCCAGTGGTAGTCTCTCTAAGGATGCTATGGTTAAACCTCGGCCTCTTTTCTGAGCTCAAAACAACCCACATAAATATAAAAATTATTAAAAAAAAGTATTTACTTTTTTGCCAAATGCTTACCCAAATAAAGTCAGTAGTGTCTAATGCCAACATGTATACAGTGTTATTGAACTGCCAGATTACATAGAGCATGTGAAAATGTAAGTCACCTTAAGTGCTTCTAGAGCCATTATTACTTGTCATTAATACAATGTCGTTATCACAGTGTCTTTGTGTAGCATAAAGAACAACCTTGCCACATTCAGAATATAATAAAACTGCATATATTTATAGGGCTGGGCTAATGTCATTTGAATGTCACTACATGATGAATACTTAGCAATTACACGGGGTTCCACTGACCTGAAAAATTAAAAGGACATATTCAAGAAGCTAAAGCTTTTTTTCTTTTGGTAATGCATTTATTGTCACAACAGGTTACATTTACATGGTGTAGAGATGAGTGAAGAACAGAACTCAAATGATTTACAGTATCTCTCTTGTTGTGTGTGTGTGTGTGTGTCTTTTTCATTTAGATCGGACTGCATTCACAGAGTTCATGTCGAGTGCAGGTGGTGGCCCCGAGCCATAGGAGCAGTGTAAAGGTTCTGATAGCAGTGACAGCAGACATTTTTGCTGCGGTGTGCATATTTATGTGTGTGTATTTTGTTAGTGAGGGACTGGCTGGATTTACTGAGGAATATAATTAACCCTTACTGTCTGGCACAGATTTGTATCTTCTCCATGCTGTCCAAGCAGAGCAAACACTACTGTGTACCACTGTTCATATAGCCACGAGTGCTTCACATCTGCAAAAGGCAAAGGACTTTCTTGCTACAACATAAATCTTGGGTGTATGCATAAAGATTCCTGAGGAAATTGTAACATTTGAACTTAAGCAATGTAACATTCTTGAGCTTTTACGCTCAGTTTTTCTATAATGTATGCAAAAAAATTACAATCTTAACTAATTTAAAGCTTCAAAAGACATTAAAAATTATTACCTTTCTACTCATCCATCAAGGAATGGAAAGTAAAAATCGTTTTGTAATTCTGGAACCTTTTATTCAGGTGTGGGTTAGAGACAGATTTCTTTGTGCCAGTGTAAATCCAGTCATGGCCAAGTGTAGATGACTTGTGCTGAGAGCATCTATTTCTTGTGTGTTCACCACTCTTCTTACCGAGACCCTTGTTCAACTCATCAACATAAAACATATTCCATCAAAAAAACATGCAAAATCAAAACCCACGTCTGTTCCCTTTTCTGTCACTAAAACCTCATCTCTCCAGTCTTCATCTCTCCAGTCTTGTGCCCCAAATTATCTCTTCCTACATACAATCATTTACATACACTTCATTATTACAATCACTTCATTCATCCTCAAAGGAGATGTTAAGTTTTTGTCTGTTTCAAGTCTATCACACATCGAAGGGATCAAAACATTTTTATGCCGCTTGGAGGGAGGGGGCATGTTGACAGGTCTTGTCTGTCTGGTCTTGGTTGCCTTTAGCATTCACCTGTCAAAAATCCCATGACAGCAAGATGACACCTTTTCTGTCCAGGAAGGCTCCCGTAGCTTGGCATCTCATGGGTCCAGTGCAGGAGCCCTTACTGTGCTGATGGCTGCTTTTACAGAAAGGGGACAGTATGAAAGAGTAAGCAGTCTCTTAATAGAAATTTGATCTTTTTCTTCTGGGTTATCCTCTGTCAGGTGCTTGATCAGGTAATCCGTCTAGTCCAGAAATCCACATACAGTGAAGGCCGGGTTTCCACTTGGACACAGCAGCGTTCAAAGGTCAAAGTTCACCCAGTGACACCAGCTTTTCCATTCCTCCTCATCAAACAGATTTGTTTTCTTGTTATTTTTTTTCTTCCTCAGGATGATTGCTCCACTTTCCTTAATCTGCGGTGGTGTTTGTTAACATATATGTACATCATAGGTTACCATGGCTGGTACTGATTACGTGTTGTTGTGGCAATAGTGTGTGAGTGGCGTCCAGGCGTCGGCAGGGGGGGGGGTGCTGTGGTCACTGGTGACGGTCATTGTTGGGGGAGTTCTGACGGCTGTTTCTTGGTTTTCAGAGTGTCTATGAGAGACTGGACGCCACGTTTCACGCTGGTGGTCACACGCCGGGTCACAGAGTCCGGAGAGGGCGAGGAGGAGGAGCCAGCACGTTGGGAGGGGGGCCGTGCCACCAGACACTTCTGATACCGCAGCTGGAAAAGAAGAGGACAGGGTTAGATTTGGTTTTATGACTTGGTTTTAAAGGAAACATCACGCAAGATGTATGTTACCGTTTTTTGTATGGATTAAACAAACTGGTGCTAGTAGTTGGACTTTACACAACACAACCAGGTTAGCTGTTTCCAGGCTTAATGCTAAGCTAAGCTAACCAGCTGTAGTGTCATAATTACTGTACAGACATGAGAGCAGTGTTGATCTTCTAATATAACTCTTGGCTGGAAAGCAAAAGAAAAATTGTCGAGAAAATGTCAAACTTTTCCTTTAAATACAAAACCTTTTAATATCCATTTATGGAGAGTTACACAACATATATGACACAATATCACAACAAAGGAATTAAATATGAACTTACCACACACGCTGCCTGCACAGCCTCAGACACACTGCCTGCGTTAGGGTCGCACCAGAACACGTGACACTGGAAATGCTGGCTCCCGGTGTCCATAATGAAGGCAAATGTGTGCACATCCCGTCCCACGCCCATGAAGGACAAGAAACGGACACGACACTCCACCAACGCCTCCTCTTCCTCTTCCTGCACAGACAGGAGGAGAATCAGATCTAGGCTCTAAACTCTGCTGTATTAGTTCTTCCTCTCTAATCAACAAGCACATTCACATCTTTTATTTATCTGTAACTCCTCAGGGCAGCAACAAAAAGTCCCTTGCCTTTTCTTTGATGACAGCCAGAGTGGTGTCAGCAATACTCAGTATGACAGGAGTCCAGTCCTCTTTGCCTGTGGAGGACACAAGGCTGTCTATGGCCCCATTTATGATGTCCATACCTGAGGACAAAACACAGGAGAGTCTGAACAGCGAGATAGTGTGTGACAGAATTTATTACAGGATGTGTTATAATGTGTGTATGGGTTCCAGTATCACTTCAGGTTTACCTATGGGGCGAGTCACAGATGTCATACCCAGATACAGCACATGAAACTTCTGCACCAACTCAGTCTTTGGCATGGGAAACTCTGCAGAGAGAAAACACACTTACATTGAAACACACACATACACAGATCATCCGCAGGGAATTGTATCACACAACAACATCTAACGCAGTTCCAAAAGAGAAGTCCACACATGATAATTGGCTTAAACTAGAGAAATAAACAAACACTGGTGAATATTTTAATATTTTAGGGTGCTGTTGACATGATTAGGGCATGCAGGATTTCAGAGTTTTCTGCATGAAAACCCAGCTGTGCCTGTTTACACAGCGGCCTGCAGGCAGAGAAGATTGCTGTACACCGTGAATGAGGATGATCAAAGATGTATCACCTTCATTTCAATCAGCACAGACGTTAACATCCTTTACCCTGAGGACCTTGTTATTGACACGCTGTGCAATTAGCTACATACTGTAAGCTTGAGACAGTTTTTGACAAGGTAAAATGCAGAAGATTAAAAGAGGTTAATTGTTGGTTAAACTTCATAGTTTAAAGATTGTTAATTCTCAATTGTGCTAAAAGACAAAATAATACAAATTCAACAAAATACTAAAAGGTACAAACAAAGAATGGACTTAAAAACTGAGTGGCCAATTGCAACATAAAGTTATTATTGAGACTGTCAAGGTGGAATGTTAATTATTGTTGAATGCAGTTTAGTGGATAACTGCAGGCATTTATATATGAATCAAACGTCTGTAATAAATAAAATAATTGTTGTATGAAAACTTTGATTCGTGCAACCCTAAATACAATAGGTTGTAACAGGTGTAGCACACCAAAAAAAATTTCTCCAACAACAAACTACCCATGGCGCAATGATCAAACAAATTAATCAGCTGACTGATGTGAAGATGATACCTGCTGTAATTTAAAGACACGACGGGTACTAGTGTGGCAAGACGTCTTCAAACATGCAAGACATTTTGGAAATATTGGAAGAAAGTTAAATAATTTCCCCCTGGGATTTAAATAATTTCCCCCTGTGATTATTAAAGTATTTCTGATTCTGATTCTGAAAGCCTGGAGCAAGCAGTGTTTATATGAGATTCAGCCCTTTTTGCACAATATCTTAATTACTGAATTTCAGAGATTAACAATTCATCACAAACTCATCTCTGTAGTTCGGTATAGACTGAGTAAGGGAAATCAATCAGGGATAATTACTTTTACCTGGATCCACCTCATCGCTGACGTCCAGCGTAGAGTATGTACTGCTAAAGGTCCATAAATGACGAATAGTGAGAGTTTCTCATACATGAATTTTATATTTAAAAAAGAGCTCAGACAGAACAGATCTGATGACAATAGCGGGACCATTATCCTGGTGTAATCATTCTGTGCTAATCTCCTAAAATGTGTCCCAACACGGGACTGTGCTGTCCCAGATACGCTGAAGAGATCTAATCCAGGCGAGAACAAGAACTGTTTTCCATCCACTGGTGAATGGACCTCTAGAGCTAATAGGCCGGTGTTTCTACTTCAAGGGCATTGCCTCTCACTGGATACCAAGCTGGTTTTTTCAGTTAAAAGACTATGAGTTCAAGCAAGTTATAGCTTTAAAAGATGTGAGGGATGTTTCCCCAATACGTTCTTTGATCCTGGGGTTGAGATGGGTGCTGTGGAGCACCAGGCCTTGCCTCAAAGAAGCACTAATTGGGTTTTAATGAGGTCGACTGCCTCTGTAAGTGAACAGCCGATACAGTTCTTTTATATTCTGATGCCGGAGCTCCTTTCCTTCATGCTCAGCAGATACACACACCAGCTGAAGTTACAGCGGAGGATGAATTGGGCTGGCGCTTCTTCTCTTTCTTCCTATAATTACTTGGGACTGAGAGGAACAAGCGGTGGGACTTAGCGAAATGGGAAACAGTGAATAGAATTAACGCTGGGAGGATAAAGCTCAGTGACTGTGGAGCAAGAAGTTGTTCTGGAGTCAGCGATATCTGTGTGTAATTGAACCAAACGCTGCTATCTTTTCTATTAACAAATGTTCACAGTCATTCCTGAGGCGATAAGGTCATTTTTTAAAAAACATATACAGTACATGGTTTTAGATGAGGAATACTGTAACGCGAGACAAGAAACCACAGCAGGAGAGATAGCACACGGCTGACAAATCCAATTTTCTCACGAGGGAACTACAAAAGAACAAGACTCAAAGAAAAAGGTGTGTGTGTGCGTGTGTTTGTGTATACCTTGTAGGGGTACATCGGAGCCGGTCTGGGAGGAGCTGCCAGCTGCAGCCTTGGCACTTTTTCTTTCAGCCATAATCTAGACGAGGGGAGGGAAAAAGAAAAATGGAGACAGGAGGATAAAACAGGAATAACGGGACAAAATGAGAGAGAGGAAAGAAGGGGGAAGAAAGAGAAGAGACAAAAGGGGGAGAGAGAAGAAGAGAAGAGGTAAGCAACCAGAATTTGAATGAGGAGAAGAGAAGGAAAGGTATGGATGAACATGAAAACACAATTTAAAGGATAAGGCCGGTGATATTCTAGATTTCTGTTACTGTCAACAAATGAAAATACTAAAACCAACAATGGATTGGTCATTTTCTCACTTACATCTCTACTTTCCTATTTCTCTTCCCTGTCTCATCCACAGGCCCATTTGTTTCACATATATATATATATATCTTCACAAATATATATTTGCATATTAATTTCCCAATACAACCAGGCACTGTAGTTTTTATCAAACGTTACTCAAATAGGCACAAATTGTGTACGTATTTAGGACTAATTTTGGATTTGGTGCAGTATTTGCAGCAACAGGATGATGTTTGTGGGATTGACTCCAAAAAAAAACTACAGTGCTTGTGTTAATGTTGCACAACAATGGAGCTTTATGCCACATATGAATAAGATGTATCAGGTTATGGCTACTCAGGTAATACTTTAATCAATTCATAGTTATTTTGTTTTTTTGTTGATAATAAGAAAAATCTATAATTTTACCAGCCTTATCCTTATCTGTTCTCTTTAAAATTATATATTTGAATATAACAGTGTGAAAAGAAGCTATTTTTCTCTTTTTTTCTTTCCTCCTGCTCTTCTGCTGCAGTGTACACACTCTTTAAAGAGTCTTGAATAGTCTGCATGGCCCCTGCACCGAACTGCTGCACCCTTCCTGCTACAGATACTTGATTAATTGTAGGTGTCATTAATCAAAGTCTATGGTGAGTCTGCAACTCTGCTCACAGGGGAACATGCAAGAAAACGCATGGACACACACACTCTCTCTCTCTCTTGCTCACACACACACACACACACACACATAGTCTCTCACACACACAAAGGAAGCCCGCTCAGTTTGCTGCGCAGCTGCAAGACTCGGGTCACCAAGTTTCTCCGCTGCAGTAAAGAGAAAACTACCGCTATGTTTAAAATAGGCGGTGTGAAGAGTCATGGTCACACACACATACAGATACATACACTGTCCTCCTTCAATTTGGATAGGCGATAAGAAGAAATTAACAGAAAAAAAACATTTCTCTCTAAATGGGTCAACATGCCTCTAAGGGAGAAGAGAAAATCTGTATTTCCAGGTAGATTCATCATTTACAAGGTCACTGCTGGCCTGAGGACATACTGGTTTCTCTTTGTGTACAAAAGGCTGTGTGTGTGTGTGTGTGTGTGAGGGAGTGAGAGAGGGGAAAGGGTTTCTAAACAAGTGACTTATACAGTGTATGTCTAGGTTATACAAGTATCAAGGATCTAATATATTAACATTACACCTCAGTATGCATTGGCTAGCAGTAAAACATTCATTGGCTTTTATTATGTTACAGATAGCACTGGTGTTCCAGACTAACGCTGACCAATGCACTTCTCATACTTGTGATAGCAATCAGTACAAATATTGTGTATGACTGGAGATGTAGCTGGCTGCACACATACTTTAAAGTATTTTAATGAGCTCAGGTGTTGTTCTATATTTGTGTTATCAGCAACAAATCCCATAAAAAAGACCAAACCAACTGTGACTTTCTGATTCAAGTCCAGCTGTTCCTACTTTTTTTGTTAATTTGTTTAGAAATGGTTCATTAATCAACATAATCTTTTATTTAGCAAACATTACTCCTAAAAAGAGAAATAAAAATTATGCAGATAAATACACAGTTGTTGTCACAATCACAAGTTTGGACATTATTAACAAACAAAAAATTGCACAAAAATTGATCTCTATGCACAAAGGGATAAGAAATATCAGGACTATACAGTCAATACTGTGAAGTCTTTTCATGGGATTTGTTGACAGTAGGAAAATATAGAATACCGAATTCCTATAGTCACGTGTAGGCAATTTATCTTAATACACCACACAACTAATGCCAAGACAGAAAGAGTTTGAAAAGGTCAAACTGTTAAACAAAGAACAGCAACAAGAAAAACAAGAGTTGACACCCATGCTAGCGGCTCTGAGGCTGTACTTAGGCACAGTGGGTCTTTAAGCTAAATGCTAGCACATTTTAGTGTAGCATGTGCTAATTAGCATTACACACAAAGTACAGCTCTGTGTTGCATGTATTTCATCATAAACCAAATTTAAATTCTGAACTGTTGATGGTGCTAGATTAAAGGTCAGCTCCAAAGTTACCACCGTCTGGTCCAAATGTATTGTTAATCCATACAATACTTGTTGAGATATTGCATACAAAGCCTAAAGTGCTAGAGGAAAAGTCAAGGGATCAATAAAGTCAGTTGGATTAATCCCCTGGGGACCATGAATGTCTGTACTAATCTAAGTCTGTCCAGTAGATGTTGAGGAATTTCAGTCTGCAGTCTGGACCAAAGTAGTGGAGCGAGCAACTGACAGATGAACATTGCTAATTTCTGGAGGATCCAGGTGAAGATACTCTTATTTGTACCCCTTTTATACAGTAGACACACATATAATACTGGTCAACTCAATGCTAGTTGGTCCCACACTGGACCCATTCATATAGCTGTCTTTTTAGTTGTCACTGTAAGCAGAGACTCTAGCCTTCAGTGTAGTTTCATACATACATCATGAAACCGTGGGTCCCCCATCAGTCTGAATGGGGTACTATTCCCTGTCTTCAGTGTAAGTGTGCATATGATTTTAATGGATATCAGAATATACCGTCACTCATGCATTTTTAATCACAGAAACGACACTAAAACTAAATTAAAATAACCACTGACAACGAGGACGTTGACTAAATGCATTAGCTACATTTCAACAAATAAAAACTAAACGATAATGTGAAAGATGGACGAATGGACTAATTACTGTTATAAAGCAAAGTCTTATTCAACGACCTGCATTCATCTACAGAATCACACTGTTGTTCCTGATTAGTAAAACACTACCCTCTGCTGCCCAAAATATCTCCTGTTCAGAAGTTGATTTAGCTTTGACCTTGCACCACCGTTAATAAGACACATATAACCTTCAGTAATGTTCTCTCTCTGTGTGAGTAATATTATCTGAGAATTAGAGAGGAAGTGTCAACAAAACCTCTGGGATAAACTAGGAAAACATCCAGCACGCCAACATTTAAGCCTCTGAATGATGCGCCGCTCTGCAGTGGAGGGGATTTACTGAGGGGAGACAGTCTGTTAAATGACTGCAGAGCAGAGTGGTGGGCACTGTGTGAACAACTCAACTTTTCCACTAACCTTGCGATAAACGACAATGACACCTGTAACCATGGTAACTGTGCACAACGAAGATGGCTTACGTAGCTACGGCTTCAAAAGCTATCACCGATGAAAACTGGACTTAAATGTTCTTTTCTGTTTACAAAAAAAATGATATAATGACTGAAATTTGACTAAAAATTACATTTTCTAAAGAGACTAACGACAAAATTTGAAAATAACACTGGACTTGTGTATAGCCCCTAACTTTCGTTCCACAGAAGTTACCTATATGATATAATTCAGAATTTAGAAATTATCTTATGGCTCCGAACTGAACATGTCATAATGAGACCTGCAAAGACCAGGACTTGAAGATCTGGTTTCATTCAGAGTAAGAAGAAGAGTGAATCTGCACTAAGCTTCAGTATCAACCTCAGATACCTCAAGTGAAACAGCTTTGAGAACCACTGCACTAGAGGTATCACATTTTGACTACCCTAGACATGAAAAGCACACGTGTATGATGGTGCAGTATAAAAGCCCACAAAAGGAGCAGTACGGGACTTTCAATAAGGAGACAGCTGTTCCAGTTCCATGTGAAACTAAAGCTCGACATTGACTTGTCAGGTACGTCATTAATATTTTCCTAAACCTAAGCAAATAGTTTTGTTGCCTATACTTAACCAACTGTGATCTGTACGACGCTGTGTAGGAACATGGCACTACAAACCCTGAGCCTTCTTTTAGTGGTGGTGCAGCAACCAGCCCTCCAACAGTTTGGTATTTTCCTCACCTTGACAACTTTGCTTAGCCTTAGTCTTGGTTGCCTAGTGCAGCAATAGATCGATAGATAGATAGATAGACAGTAATAGAGTGAAAAAAGTGTGTGGAATCAGTGTGTGATTTATTTAATGCTGAAGGTTTGCCACTTAGGATCTGGGATTAATAACACACACACACACACCACACGCACGCACATACACACACACAAACACACTAGTGAAATACTGCATGTGCTCTGTAACCTGAATCTTATCTCCTCTGCTCACTGGCCCTTAAAACTTCCATGTATCTCTCTCCTCAGCTCTTAGTTCTCTAGAAAAATACAGAAATCTTGTCAGGGCACTGCCACTGTGTTTGAATTCCTGGCTATTAGTTTTACAAAACATGCATGCAGGAGTTACAACCTTAAAACGTAGCTCTGGATCAGCAGGAAAAAGATTTTCCTTCTCTCTTCAATAGTCACCCTAATTAAAGCTTGATAGCTTGTTTCAGAGTAGCAGATAAGCTCACTCATGCGGAGGCGGCGATGGTAATGACACCCACCTTGGAGCAGATTTCGTGGAGACTTGTGGCGATAGCTGCGGCAGGAGTATCACATCGGAACACGTGGCACTTCAGCACCCGTGTGTTTTTGTCTCTCGCCACGTAGGCAAAGTCCCTGAAACAGGACAACAGACACACAAGAATTATCACACATGAATTTCTAATGCAGGTAATTAACAAACACACACACACACCTCTACAGCAGATGTACCAAGACATGTTGCTTTGTTAAAGGGGCTGTAAGGGATGATCTCTGTTGTCCCATAATGCAGGTGATTCAATCATTATACTTCACCAGGTGGGTGATCTTACAGCCTGTACACTTATTTTTCTATTTACATTTCAGTAACTAATGCACATTTCTGTACACATTTCCCAGTAACTCTTAAGCTTATATGTGAAAGGACACACAAAACTGAACATTAAGAGAAAAGAAGGCAGGTTGTTTCCTCCATAAGAAGGGACTTTTTAGCATGAGGTGTGTATTTGTGTATCTGATGAGAGGAGAGAGAATCATTGTTGGTTATTTAGGGTTAAGAAAATGTGATAAATAACCTCATTGAATTAATAAGCCCATCACAGAATTCCATTTCTTTGTTAATTTGTGTTTTTTTGCCTTAATGATCTCATCTCATTTCTTTTTCATTCCATATATTGTATGTGGGAGAGGCAGGCGTTATCCACTTTAATTTTAAATATCTGCTACTAGCTTTTCCAGCAAATAGATTGTATTTTTCCTCTCAAAGCCGCCTGATATTACTCCTTGGAGAGCCACTTTTGGACACTGCTGTATATTGGAGAAGAATTTATCTTCTGTAAAGGCTTCAAATACCTCTTCCCAAAGGGCACCTAGCTTAGGGCCAATATGTGGATATGATTGCCAATTTATATTTTACATTCCCTTCAACATTTTTCTTGAGTTTGTTGGGTTCAATTTTGGCATTATCAGCGGCCTCTGGAATCTATCTTTATTACTTTCCATTTTCCCAGTGATTTTATTCTCATTTATTCTCATTCCCCTTATTAAGAACTGTTCTGGAGAGGGTTTAAGATCTTTTCTTCATTTTCTATGTGTTGTCAGGAGGTGACTCTTTGCAAACATAAAGAAAAAGTCTTCTGTCCTGCACCTGTTTGCATTGTCAGCTGTTGGTGAGCTAAATGATTTGCAAGACATTTCATGCACAAGTTAGAAAAGCAAATGGCAACACAAAATAATTATTACCCCACTTTGCATCATGATATATTTACCTCTTCTCTAGACATTTCTTGTTGGAGCTCTGCTCTAATTAGCTCACTCATTTATTGTGAATATGTTGCTTCATTATTTGTGTCACCTAAAGGCTGCAATAAGCTTTGCTGGCATTGCTGCAATTGCTTGTACACCAGTTAAGGTTTATTTAATAAACAGATACCTTAAAGCCCCTTTAACATGTGGCATATTGTGTGCTGTTGATCCATAAATAACAGGTGTCACTGTCGGAAAATGGTGCTTGCCAATTTTGACACACACACACACACACACACACACACACACACACACACACACAGGTATACATAGGTATACAGCGAGGCAGATGTGTGTCCTGAGGAAACTATGAGCCCAGCGCTTCCAAGCGGTGCCACATGGCAGGGGAAAATGACGAGTACGGTGAGACTGAGAGAGAGCTCCACAGAGAAAGAAACTTTATGCAGAGAGTGGGTGGGAGATGAAACATAGCTACATGTGGGAGATGCTACACACACACACACACACACACAAGATGAAAGATTTCTTCCTCGTTAACAGGTGAGACAAGCTGCAGAACAAAAGGTAGGAGGATGTGTTTCCAGCCCGGACTGAAATGAAACAGGTAAAGCAGAGTGAAAGCGTGGAGTGGGAACATGCAGAGGAGCCAACTGGATGGCAGTGTCACCAGATGCAGCTGAACAGCTCCATGCACACACACACATACACACATACAGTGCACACTCCCAAATAACCATAGACATAAACAGAAATATGGCAAACACAGCCGGCATTTATCACAGCGGGCTCTTTGTGTTTATGAGTCCATTATCCGGCCCGTCTCCTCTGCTTAATTGTGTGCTCACACACTTTGGGTCGATAATGTTCCCCTCGCCTGTGGCCAGAAAGGAAAGTGCAATGGTGTGTGAGTGCGTGTGTGTGTGTGGTGAGTGTATGCATTCAGTGTGCTTCGTTCAGGGACATTTGAGCAGTGTGTCACCAAAGCAGTATGAGTGGCCTTGCCTCGCATACTACAAATGGTTCTTTTATGACTTCTGTACCCTCTCTGGGGGATCAAAACGCTATAAAACAGCATGCAACTCTTAATAGGAAATAGCCTGTGGCCAGTCTGGCTCGCTGATGATTTAACAGCAGTGATTTAGACCTTCAGTAGTCGCTGGTGCACTCCTGCAAAGAGCAACAGTGGCTCTGGGCGAAGCAAAGCCACTGATTTGATGCCTGGAGTGACAGATGTGATTGCACGAGGAGGGGTTGGGGAGTCTTGACACAACGATTACTGAAAAGAACGGAGAAGCACGATCACACTTGAGCACACCACGAAGAGCAGTTACCTTTCTCTGGGTCCCGGGAAGCAGAATGAAATGAGACGGGATGAGAGGAGGATGGTGGGGGAAATAGTAAGGAAAGAATAAATGAGTTAAAAAAAGAAAGTGGATGAGAAAATTGTATTACAGCAAAAAAATGAAAAGGAAAAAGAAAATCAGGAGCGGAAGGTGGGATAGAAAATGCAAGTGGAAAAAACAAGAGTTAATACACACAGCGTAGTGAGTCAGAAACAGACACTCTTTCACCTCAATCTCTAGCTTCCTGTGAGGTGTGTGTGTGTTTGTGTTGTATCTGTGCACTGGAGCTCAGTTCTGTATACTTTTCATTTCAGTGGCTTAGCGATCCGCTACATTATGACACAGCACACCGTTACTTGTTAGATGTGCCAACATACTCGCACACACACTGTGTTTTTACCCCAGGTTTTCCTCCCCCTACTCCCCATTTCCCTCTACCTTCTCCCCCCCTCAGTCTCTCTTACATTCCGCTCTTTGCTTTCGTTCTTTTAATCTTCCTTTCCCTTTCCACAGCTCTCTCCATCTCTCCTCTCCTCTACTCACTCATTCTTCCCGCAAAAAAAGAAAAAAAGATGCAACACCGAATGATTCACATCAACATTGTAACTTATCACAGCTGCTCTCATCCATATAGTCTGTAACACTCTTCTATCTATTATCAGGAACACAACAAAGGAGGCACAGTCTGAATAAAGAACAGAGGGCTAATTCAAACAGCGACTGCCTTTGATTCTTTGATGATCCACTTAGTAAGAAGCAGTGTGTGTATGTGTGTGAGCGGCAGCAGCTGGCACATTATTTCAAACAGGAATCTTCAGAGTCAGAGCATCAGAGCTGCAGCTTCAACTTGCTCTCCAAACAGCCGGTGGTCGCCCACATGCACACACACAACAACACAAACACACAGACATATGGAGGCTAAATCAACACATGTATAAACTCCCTACAAGCTCTCACTCGCCACATGTAAATGTGTCTGCACATGCTGTATTAAAATGCATCTTTCTCTCTGTTTGAATTTCATTCATGATTTTTGAGTCCCATGAGTCCATTTACGTCCCATTCTACGTCCTTCTGCTCCATTTAAAATTCAGACTCCATGCTTTTTTCACTGCCAGACACTTTGGTGGAATTGGATTTCGGGGTCAAAATTCTCAATGGCCCAAAAGCTTCTCTCCATTTACCTCAACACTACACCCCATTCTTCTCTCTCTACAGCTGATTTGCAAGAGAGTGTCAGACTTAAAGTGTTGCAAGTTCTTTAATACAAATGGAAGAACCACATCAGAGCTGATTCAAACCAAGAACAGACTTTTATCTCCCAAAAACCCAGATTAAACTGACCTCATTTGACTTTGGCAGCACAATACTAAGGCTAAGCCAACTACACCTGGATATGCATCTTTTTTTCTCAGGTTTGGCCTTTTGTCAACACTACACCAGTGGGTTTTCACACCTGACGAGTTTCAAAAACAGGAAAAAAAAAGATTTTTGGCATACAATGACTTCAGCCTGTTCAGGCAGTAAAATAACACAGTTACCTTTTTGGTGTGTCTAACTTTGTCTATGATCAGTGATTCAAAATGTAAAGCATTAATTGCAAGTAAAGTAAAGCCAAACACACAAAACATGTCATTTAGTGACTGTTTAGTGTTTTTAGTCCTGTTTATGTTTCCTTTGCCTTCAAGGTGTTTTGATGAGTGCAGGTAATACTGTTTGTCTGCTCAATGAGCTGCAATCAAACCACTAGTTTATAATCATGCAGGTGTCTGACAAACAACGCAGTGTAGGTGTTGATGAAGAGCAAGAGGGAAAAGAACAGAGATTTAACCAGTTGAGAATCAACAGAGTAACTAGGCTGTGTCTGTCCAAAACTCAGGGCTGGCAAGGACTTACTTAAGTCATTAGCAAAAACTGCAAAACAGCATACGCCTGATTTTATATCAACACATTTTATTATTCATTTAACTGTTGGAATGTATAATTTCCTTGTTCCTACATTATACTTTGGTGCCAGGTGTGTAATTCTGCTGAGGGAAACAACATTTATTTAATTTAAATTTTGTTGCCTTCAAAAGAGACCAGTTTTGTCTATTTTGTCTAACGTAAATCAGCCTTAAGAAACACTAAATGTGTAATTTGTGTATGTAAATCTGCATTACAATTGGTAAAATATTATCAAGGACATGACCTCAGTATCCTGTCGACACCTGTCTACATGATGTCTGTAACACAATCTGTTATAGTTTGGCAACCAAATCAGGAAAAACAGCAAATAATAGTAATTTTCCTATTGAAATCTTCACAAAAACAACCTGAAAACGGAAGTGTGGACACAGGTTGTTTTCACACATAAACAGTGCTTTAGTGTAGAGGGGAAAAATATCAGACAGAGTTGTTGGCAGCTATGGCACTGAGGAACAGTTTTCCCTGACCTCAGTTAATGGAAAGGGTGACACATGGTAGAGACAGACTGAGCAGACTGGCAGTGAATCAACCAACAACTGAAGATGAATGACACATAGACCTCAGAAATGTAGGGAGAGTTTTCTGGCAGGAAAGTGAGGAGAGACGATAGATAGATAAAATGTCGAGAGAGGGCAGTGATGAAGGCAGAAGGCCAGAAAGCCAAAATGAAAAGGTGGGAGCGTAGAGAGGAATGCGAACGAGGTGGGAGACTCACTGGGGGCTGGATGGTGGACGGAGAGGTGGAGAAGAAAAAGAGAGGTAAAAAGAGGTATGAGATGAAAGGTATGAAAGCACCAAAGCAGAGAGATGAGTTAAAGCAAGACTCCCACCACTCATGTGTTCTCCTTTTTCTCTCTCTCTCTATGTGCTCCACATATTTCCCAAGCTGAATAAAGGATGACTGACTCACTACTACCAATCTCTCTTTGATCCTGGTGGCTGTGAGGCAGGCTCTGCTGGAGAGGATGTTTACAACCCGGAGATTAAATTAGGTCATATCTGCAGATGTATGGTGAACTGGTTCTGAGAAAGACGCGCAGAAACCGTCAGTGTCTGCAGCTCTGACATCAGTCGCTCCCACCATCAGTAGTACTAACAGCATGGTGTGTAGTAATAACATTAGCATATGTACAGTTGATGGAAAATCCCACTCACATACTTGAGTATGCTTGATCCCACATATTTTGATTTCACTTTCATTCATTTAATTACACAAAAAAAGCCACTGAATAGGATGTACAAAGGAAATACGCTGCTGACAAATGTTAGAAAAAGAAATGGGAAAAGGAAATAAAAACACTGTAGACCACTCACGCTGAGGTTGGTTGTGAAATGGACGACTTTGCCACCTTTATAATGGTTTTGAAATAAGAATCAGTTGTAAAGGAACCTGCAACCCAAACCTGACTTTTCCCCACTGTTGTTTGAGATTTGATTGCTGCTTGTAGCTATGGTGAGCTGTGATGAAGAGCTGAAGTTAGGGATTATCTTAAAGGTGCACAAAGATTTCCATTAACATTAACCATTGCACAGCTTTTATTTAAACCTAGTATAAGGAGTTTTTAACTGGTTATGAAACTAATTTAAATGTCAAACTGATGATTCTACATGACCTAAATAAGAAAATGAGACTGTGATTGTTAAGATTTGCTTTGAACATACAACATGTAATTTCTGCGAGCGTAGCGCGCAGCGAGCAGAGAGACGAATAACAAAAGACAAAGTTTGATTGTGTGATCATGGGAGTGCCACCATTGCTATAATTGCAGTTAGATTATCCCAGTTAGGCTTCCTTTATTGTTTATTGTTCAAGAGGTTTTCATTGGGAGCCGAATTAGCCGCAGAGGCCTCCTCCTCTCTAAAACAAATAGACCCTGTGATTAAAACCGGTAAAAACA